TTGTTAGAAAGTTTAGGAGCTTTGGGATTAGGGGTTTAGGGGTTTCGGGTTTATGCTTTAGGGTTTAAGGGTTTAGGAGCTAAGGGGTTAAGGGTTTATTCGGGGGTTTAGGGGTTTAGGGCTGAGGGCTTTAGGGTGAGGAGGTCAGACGGTTAGGCTTTCGAATAAGAACGTTTGGGGATGTTTGGGGTCTAGGTTTTCAGCTTTCAGGTTTTAGGGTTTAGAGGCCTGCATTTTGCATTTGGGCTCGTATCCGGAATCTACAAACAAGGTTTCGGGATTCTGCAGCTCCTGTCTTTGGAAGGGATTCGTGATGGGTTCGAGGGTTCAGGAAATCGTGGCTGCTGGGTATTTTTGGCAAGAGAGTTCAGGTGCCTGCTACTTGGAGGGTCGGGGGACGTAGTAAGTAGGTAGTAAGTAGACTTATGAGTACCCTAAAAGGGGCCCTAATCGGGATTATGGTGCTTATAAGTCCCTAAGATTACCAGTTACTAAGTCCCCCGACCCTCCAAGTAGTCATCCAGCTTCCAGCATGCTCTGAACCCCCTGTAATGTACGAACCTGATTAAGAAACCCTGGGTCTTTACTATGGTTCCTTATATGGATCCTATTATGTTGGGGTTACAAGGCCAGGGTTTCTTAATCGGGTTCCTGCAGTGCCCTCAAGCCCGCAACCTTTAAAACCGGAAGAAGCTAAAACCACCAACCCGTACAGTATGGACCTCAAACCCTAAAACCCAAAACCCTCAAACCCAAAACCCTGAACCCTAAACGCTTGAAACCTAAAATGAAGCCTAAAGCCTTAAAGCTGCAATAATCCTTAAAAAGCCCAACAACCCGAAACCCCAGGACACCCCAAACCCTGAACCCTACAGCCTGGAACCTAAATCTTCCATTGGGAAGGTATGAAACCTAACATAGGGGCCTTAATAATTCGAATAGGGTTTTGGAGCTCATTATACAATAGTTACAGTAAGGAAGCCCCAATAAATGGTAAAGGTAAAAGGATTATATAGGCCCGCTATATCCACAGCGGCGCCTCACTCGGATGCCCTTCTCTTCTCCCCTCTTCTCCGGTCCTTTCTGCATACTGTGAACTCCAAAAAAGTTGGAAACCTAATTAAGGACAAATCGTGCTGGGATTCCTTATGCTTTGCTCTTAGGGATTGATGCTATCGGGGTTTCCAACTTTTAGGCGTCTGGTGTATGTGGTTCTCAAGGCACGATTTTTGGGAAAGTTGGGGTCCAGGGCTGAGGATGTGTAGGGTTTAGGGTTTAGGGTTTAGGGTTTAGGGTTTAGGGTTTAGGGTTTAGGGTTATGGGGTTTAGGGTTTAGGGTTATGGGGTTTGGGAAAGGTTATAGGGCCTCCGGGGCTGCGAGGCCTAGCCCTCCGAAGGCTCAAAATAGCCCCCAAAAAGCCTTAGATATGGTATGGTCTTCGGGCCCAAAAGCCTTCAAATATGAGTCCTTAGAGCCTATAAGGGTAGGGATCCAGGTCTTTCTATGAATACTTTTTGAGGCTACAGCACCCGGCTCCAGGGTTTATTGTTTATCAGGTTCCCGCATTAGGAATATGGACCCTATAACATTGAGGCCACGCTGACTTCGTATGCTTGTCAGAGTCTTGGGCAATGTTTCTAGCAGAGGGTGCCATGTTTAGCTGTACGAGTTCTGTTTGTTAAGACGGGTTTCTCTTCGAAGCATAGGAGTTAAGGACCATACCTGTACAGGGCCAGCACCACCACTGTTGCAAGTGCTGTCGCGACTGATGATTTCGACTGTGGTACCAAGTGCCGGAATTGAAAGCTTAACAGCGCGTCCCGTAGGTTTGAGACTGAAATAAGGGTTCATGATTTCGGGGCTTGTGAGGTCAGCATCAAAACTGCGATGTGCAGTGTGGATACTTGGAGACTTTGATAACGTGCCAAGAGCAAGGATACATGCTGGGGCCTCTTGGGTACATCCATCCATGCAGTGACCATTTCCACTAGCGTGCTATAGCAAGATGGCTCTCAACGAGATCTAGTTGCAGGAGACCTTGTTGGAGCCGAGACAACAACACGACTCCAATACCCTCAACATGTAACGCCCTCCACCCTCCTAAGCCTTAACCCCAGCACCCTCTTTTCGCCAGTCTGGCTAGGGCTAGGGCATGCTAACTGATTTCAACCCGTCCGTAGCTATCGTATGAGTCTTCTTTGCTCTGTTGTGCACTTCATAGAAAGCAACAAAAAAACAAGGCCCCTGAACTCTGAACCCACATCCCTGAATTCTAAAGATTCGAAGCCTTCGCACTGCTTGAAGGCACGCTGGGTTCTGGGGCCAGTTCTGGGGCTTTGCAGAACCTGAACTAGTCAAGCAGTCCACATAACCTTCTTTGAAGAGGAGCAGCAACGTGTATGGAACCAGATTAAACGGTCGTCTAGCGGTCGTCGCAATTAGAGGAAAAAATTTTCGAATCCGAAGAAAGCAAACAGCACACGGCGACACCCGCTAACAGAAAATACTGCATGGAAACCACAACCTGAACACGCCAAACATGTGAATCCAAATCCTGCGCTACTATGCCCTACAGACTGTCTACAGATGCTGCGCCCAGCCCTAAAAACCATATTCTATGCAAGTTCCAAGACCCAGCCACTGCATGTACACCTTGCAACCCAAACCCAGCCCTGACACTTACCAAGCCTAAGCCGTACCTTAACCCTGAAGAACCTACCTTTTTAGGGTTCCCTATTATGATTTCCTTATATAAATCCTTAAAAAGGTAGGTTATTCCGGCTTAAGGTATACCCTACATGTACCCCCGCTGTTTCGACAATAAACTCGAGAAGCTCGAACTCAGAAGATTGAAGCCCTAAAGCCTTAAGCACCGGACACCTGGAAAACCTTAACCCAACACCCTGAAGCCAAGTCAGCAAAGAAGTGCCCAATGCCCCCAAGAACAAGGATGCTGGTGTTGTAGGATTGTAACAGGCCTACTACTAGTTCCCCTATAATTTACTGCCCAACTCTCTAAACCCGGAAAACCCTAAACCCTAAACCTGCACCGAGTGGCTCTTGCGCTGAAGAGGCGGCTTTCGCGGTGCAGCGTCCTCCGGAGGTTCGGACCTGTGACTGCATCTAGACCTAAGAGTAAAGTAGGAACAAAAAGGGTGCCCTTTTTGGTTTAAAGGGGGTTATAAGGGAACCGAAACCCTCAAAAAGGGAATAAGGCCCTACTCTGGGTCCTAATTAGGCATAAAGGTTGAGGGTTTAGGGGTTTAGGTTTAAGCTTAGTATACGGTATATACACCCTAAAAACTACTACCGCTATCGGAACCCTTCGTGTAACCCACCAAGACTTCCGCAACATCTCATCGAAAATCCCTACAAGACCAAGTAGAAACCCTCAAATGATTCCATGCAGAACCCTGTAAGAACCGTTAAAGCAAGCTTAGGAGATCCTTTCAGGAACCCTAACTTGAACACTAGAAACGAAGTGTATAGTTTAGTTTAGGGTTTCAGGGTTCAGGGGATTAGGGCTTTTGTTTTTATTGAACAAGCTTCCCTCGGAAACCTCAGGGGGCGTGGCTCAAAAGCATTTCCAGCTCCTCATCGGCTACAGTAGCCTTCTGCACACCAGGAATCCGTCAAACAGGAAATACCGTTAGGCAGTTTGATGTAGAGTTATCTATTCCAAGAGGAGGGTGTGCAAGATGTTTCAATACCGGCAATCACCCTCGCGCCAAGACGAGACATTGACCCAGCTGCTTGGCTCCATCCTCTCTCGACAAGGTGGTCCGACACTCGAAAGCAGCTAGGATACCCAGTAACCTAAGAATAAAAAGGCCTCTTTTTTTGGTATTGGGTAACTTTATAAGAAACCTAGGACTACAAAAAGGGAATAAGGGTACTACTGCGCATCCTAGGCAGAGAACACAATCATTTTACAACAAACTCGCCAGTCGGAAGCCGCATGAACCCGAATAAACTCCTACAGTACACCCTGTACAACACTCTTCAAACTCCACGGAACCCCTTTTGGGAATCCCTACAGTACTCCTCTCAGAAACCCTTATCGGAATCTTTGTAGGAGCTGAGTGTTAGGAACCCTTCAAGTCAGGCCCCAAATCCCAAACACTAAACCCCAATCTCAAACCCTAAATCCCAAACCCTAAAGCCCAAATCCCTAACGCCGTAATCCTTTCAACCCCAAAGCAAGTTGAGGTCTCCGCCGTGGTGAGCTCGCCCGCTCGTTGGTGGGGCTCGTTGCCCTGAACTTACGGGGTTCTCGTTGGGGTTGATAAGGGTTTAAGGGTTTAGGGGCTTATACTAGGGTATACAAAGGGTCTGGGGGCTTATAAGGGTTTTCGTTGGGGTTTATATGGGATTGACGAAGGTCTAATTTAGTCAAACTCTTTGATTGAAAGGCTGGGGTTTATGAGGGTTTACAGGGCCTTATCAGAGCTTTGGGATGCTTGATGGCGCGTTGCACGATTTATGAGGATTAATGATAAAGGTTTTGGAGGGTTGTATGTACATGGGGTTCAGGGCTTTCGGAGTGTTGAAATTTAGAACTTCTGTGGTTCGAAGTGAGGTGAGCGTGATGAGTCGTCACTCACATACCCGGGAATGGAGGTGGCATCATCCACACATGGAGCTTCTGCCGCACAAAAAGCACCGCAAACCCTGTAAGCCCCAAAACCTTTCCCTAAACAAAGGATTGATTCGGGGGTCCAAGTATAGTGTAAAACTTGTGGGACCTTGAGAGGACATAGTGCTTACTTATTCCGATGTCTATGTATAGCTAAAAATTTGAACCCTTGAAGTTTAAGCCCTAAGGCCCCAAAAAGCTGTTTAAACAAACTGCTGCGAAGAGCATCCTGTTTAAGTTCCGTGCAGCTGCCAAGCGCCAGAAGCAAGGAAAGCTTCGAACTCAATGATGTCATGCTCCTCATAACTCAACCCGATATGGTCGAGGTATGCCACCTCCGTTGTCTGCAAGGCTCCTAGGCCGCTAGTCTTGCGGCTTTCTTTCCTTGCCTGCTCGTCGGTGAGCTGGTCCCAAAGGCATTTTGCCCCTGCCCTTGCCGCCCTTGAAATAGAATACATGCAGCACCTGCCCCAGCTCGTGCGCTGTGCGCACGTTTTGTTTCCATTGCTCAAACCATTCGCAGCCCCATGGGGCCCTGCCCTGGTTCGCTGCGCAGAGGATTTCTGCATCCTCCACAGCTTGCGTAAGCTCCTGCTCCCACTCCAGCTCCGTCTGATGTTGCTTAACCAGCAATCGCTGGCCCATCGACTCAGCATCTGCTCTTCTGAAGGCAAGCGTCTCTTGACTGCACTGGGACTGAGAAGCACCGATTTCCACTACACTGAGGTAAGTCGATGCTGGAAGCAGGCCATAGATTTGATGGCACCAGCACTTTCCAGGAGTGTCTGGATTGCTTGCATGTCGACCCAGCCCGGATGCAGCGTCTGTCAAGAACACACAAGCAAGTGAGAAAGCATCCTTTTCGGCAACGCTTGAGACAGCTTTGTCCCACGACTCACTGTATTTGCCGGGAAACGACACGACACAGTCCGTGGCGCGATGGCTGATGTGGCCTGGACAAGCAACACGACCTGAGGAACTCAGACTGAACCCTGAGAACTCTGCAAGTTTCTGTAAAGATTCCAGACTCATCGGCACTGTGCCCACCATGCCACTGAGGAGTACCACGTTGCAAACCTGGAATGTCACGTCAAGTGTCAGCAGTGTCACCGGACGAATATCAGGCTTAGAAAACCCAGCGGACCCCAAAAAACTCAACACCGGGCCAAGGAGGACAAGGAAGGCATTTGCGCACAAAAGCCGTGCCGTCCACCACATGAAGTCATCGTCTGTTCCTTGCATCAAGGTCGTACTTGCCGTGCGGCACAGGGCAAGACACTGTATGCACGCGACTAAATAGAAGCACGCAGCAGAAATTGAACAGCAGAAACTTGTCAGGTCGGGCTCCTCTAGACGATATGCTGAATAAATTCCTGCACTAGCCAGCAGAGCCATAAGCGCCATGAGCCGATTGCACCACCAGGCTGTTCGATGCCGAGCAAGAGCTCGTAGCTTAAGGTTGGTCATGTGCATCTGCAAGACATTGCAGAGCACCTCCCACAAAACCGTTACAACCAAGACAGTGTCGTGTGATTTATGTAAGCACGCGAGCAAAGGGGACATGCTCTCGTCGCAACTGGGCAGTGCAAGGCAGCACACGGTAATCAAGCTCCAACAGTGCAACGGATTGTTTCCGGAGAAGCGGTGCATCCTGTCACCAGAGGTCGAAAGATGGCATCACACGGAAGTCATCTCTAGCTGAGGGCATGTGGGCACCGAATGGGTCAGTGCTTTTCGAGAAAAGATTGAGGCTGATGCGTGCCATGGTGTAGAAGGCCAGCGCTACCTTGGCTCTCCAGCGCGTGGCAGGATTCTTTTGTTCCAAACATTGCAGGTCCTCCCGCAGATCCGCAACAGTAGATCTTCTTCTCGTGAGAGCTACGAGAGGCTTGTCCGTCGGGGCCTGCGCCAGCTTCTGTACAGCTTGCTCATTGCCATGTCTCGAAACCAACTCCACACCCTGCAGGCTCTCCGTGGCCAGGAAGGGCATGGCTCAAAGCCGGCCTAGCTGCAGAATTTGCCAGCCTTTCGTTATCAATGCAACCTGAAGGTTTACAGTAAACTCCATAAAGTTGGAAACCTAGTTAAGGCCAAATAGTGCTGGGACTCCCTATACATTAGTCTTAAGGATTGAGGCTATTGGGTTTCCAACCTTTTGGCTTCTACTGCAGGGCGCGAAGTCGCCAATGCAGATTTGTACCCGCCGAATATAAACGAGCTTCCGAGTCATGAAGATACTCATGACGGCCTACTACCGTCCAACTGAGAACGGCTTCTTCTGCAACCTAGCACCCCAAACCTCTTCTGAACCAAACCCGTAGGTAACTTTACAGAAAATAAGACATTACGGGCCCCATATTTACAGCATTACTGTTTTTCATGTTTTTGGTTTGCTTCAGATTTGAAGCAACATCACTCGTGCACACGATATGGTTATCCTCATATGCATATTCTTAAATAGGATACATGTACGTATACCCATACATGTGCACAAACAACAATGGTTATCACATGTCCAAAGTTTTTGTTTCAACTGTCGACATGACTATAGAGCAAGAAGTTTGACTCACTTCTTGGCTGGTTCAGGCCCTAAGGGCGAGAACACTGCTACTAAGGGGATGGCGGGGGGGGGAGAGGGGGGGGGCAAAAAAAAACAAAATATGGAGGGGGGGGCAGCGCAAAAATAAAAAAAACATCGAAAATCAAAAACTCCCCCTCCCCGGGGACAGCAAGCGACAGCCAACGCCATAGTGCGCCATACTGCAGGAGCGGACACCAACCAAGAGCCACATGATTCAATAAACCTGGTGTCCTTAGCCCATGCAAGCCTCACTACAAGTGAGTAGATACTGTATGCCGAATATTAAGATCAATAAGATTACATACTAACCAGATAAACATCTATAGAATCTATAAAAGACCTCAGAGACTTACTGCGTATAGAAAATTAGATATCGGAGATTACAGCTCACAAAGATGACAAACTATTTATGACTGGCACAACATCATATGACGAGGAGACCTTGCATTAACATACATTCGACGGATGCGAACTCACGACACAACCACCTCCTGAGCAATGCCAGGTGGACAACCTGTTGAAGGGTCTGTCGTAGTCAAGCGATAACAACAATGTTTGACGTCGCATATGATGTGGTAGCATATGCGAGGACATATGGTCGGTATATATGTCGGATGTCAGATACATGTATGAGCAGTCTCCTCGATAACATATACAACAAACACTGTCTTCGCCTTTCATTGGCAGGTTGCGATGTAAGGGATCCGAATCCAACTATCTTATAGGTGCATGAAAACGGGAGTTTGAATATTCCACTTGTGCGATGTTCGAGCAACATGGTGGGCTCTGTCGGGGAGTTTACAACTGGAAATCCTTATTGGTTTATGTTCCTGTGATCAGGATCGGCTACTCGCAGGAATCTGAATATCATTATACCAAAACTGGCTAGATATGGAAACAATATATCTCATGAGCACGTCATGGTGAAGTATCAATCTTCACGTGAACCATGCGCATCATAGTATGATATGGCGTAACACACTCATAAACATGTAGCATGAGGTGCTAGGGAGATGCCATACGAGCTTGGCAAGCTCACGGGATGCACAAGGACATCTAAGTCAAATCTCATCTAGAAGATATGTGTCATGAGATGCTGCCTGCATCTTGCGACCTCTTCATACCTAGCTGTGACTGTTGTAACTTCATGCGAGATTGGGTTTATGTGTGAGAATAAGTCTCCGGGCTTTTAGAAAGGTTTACCGAGGGGTTTAACCAATATGTGGTGCAATCCCGCTTGCCCGCGCGGCCGGAAGGCGTAAAGGGGGAAGCCCGAACGATGCGGGCATCTTATAAGGACACCTACTGCGATGATCTATACGGATGGCTCAATATCATAATGATATGTTGAAGAGATTTCCTGGTGCTCTATGTTGATATGGCCATATTCAAACATAACATGCCTTTTACATTGAAGGAATGCGGCGAATATCCTGTTCAACTGCCGATTGGGTGCCTCATTATGACGGCTCCATTACTCTTGCCAAAACTGGCATGCAGCTGCCAATGTAATCTGCCATGTTTACTTCCACCACAAGAGATACTTGACTTCTTGATCATGTCACATATTAGAAAGTTGGTTTTAGGCATAGTATAGTTCTTATACTTTTGCTTGGGTAACAGGATTTAGTTTACGGAGATATCCATAAGACACACGATGAAGTGCGTCATGGGCTTTAACAAGACCATATTAGAATGGTTGCGGCATACAGGTGCATTACCTGCAGCATAGATACAACCAGCGGTATTGTTTACAGCTGATGGCAATCGTATGTGCGTGTCGGTGTATGTTTGTGTGTGCATGTGCAAATAATGTGTTTTCACGGCAGTCGACCTATGACTAGATGGTATGAGCAACAAGACAGCGAAAATGATTAATATTGCAGGTGGATCTCCATGTGTCTGCATGTACAATAATGATAGCAAAGCACCATCTCCTTGGAAAGTATATTAACTAAATTATATCCTTATCCTTTGGGGGCTCATGGGCTTCAGCCGCAATGATCACTAATCTGGATAAGCCAGCATTGTAGCTGTCAGGATGTATTCAGCAACATCCATGCGATGATTGTCTTCGAAGGTCGTAGGTTTTCAGTTTTTTTGGGTTGGCTTCTGTGAGAAGCTGTTGCAATTGAAATACACAATTCCGCACACACAGCTCCAAATACTGGACAAATTACTGGACTGGGAGCTCCGAAACAAGGACAACCAATGCAACAATAATCGTAAACAATAAATACGCCTTTGAAGGAGGTTGCACTAAACAAGCTAGCATTCATACGAAAAACGGTATCGAAACTGAATGTAGCAAAGACATCTATGTACATATATGTATATATGTACACATGCAAATGGATCCGGTAACACGATCCAGTTGATCGCCTGCATGTATACAGCTTGAGACGGTGGGAACTGTTTGAGCAACCTGCCTGTATGATGCCAAACTCAACTTGTCATGCTACAGTATATGCTGGACGTTTATATCCAAAATCATATGTTACCATGCACATGATGGGGCTTGCAAAAACCGGTGGGATATGTAAGCGATTCTTTACGTTGATATGCAAAAGTTATATAGATTGACCGGTCTTGTACATCATTCAAGGGTGGAGAAATGCACGGCTTCACAGACGCATTGTATCTCATTTATCTGCAAGATTATACTATGAGACACAAAGAACAACCACAAGATTGACGTGGCATTGATTTATCGGATAGTCTTCATGAGACTCCACAATGAAAGGTAGTCACAAGTGCATCCCATGCTGATTGGAAAAGTACTTCCCATATCAGGCATCAGGAGCAACAGGGTTAAGTAAGCTTGAAAACCACTAGTATGCAAATTATGACGATTGTAAGTTTTTGTGATGAAAACTCTTAGAAAACAGCATTTTGACTGGAAAATATGGGGCCCGTAATGTCTTACACTCTCTAACTTTACTTTAACTATTAAGGATCAGGGGGCTTGGTAAGCAGGCTCAACGTACGGGTGCAATTGAAGTACCCCCAACTCAGGGATTTGTACCGCTACCTTAAACTCCTTGCTAAGTCCCCTGGTCCTTCAAGTATCTCCCCACAACCCCAACCCCAACCCCTAGACCCTAAACTCCTAAACCCAGAACACCTTGACATACTTTAAGTATCCTGGAATGCTAAATCCTAAGGTTCCTAATCCTTCAAGTACCCTTCACCCCCAACCCCCAATCTGGCCTCATGGGGCTCGCAGCAGTCCTGCTCCTCGACCTGTGCATCCCGAAGTTGAGAAGACTTTCTTGAGAAACGTGTAGTGTAGCAGTAGTGGTAGCACTGCAGGTGGTTGTAGTGGCAGCAGTAGCAGTAGCAGTAGCAGTAGCCGTGGCGGCAGCAGCAGCAGTAGCAGCAGCAGCAGCAGTAGAAGTAGCAGTAGAAGTTAAGTAGTTGGGAGAAGTAGAACTAGAAGTAAAAAAATTAGCAGACGTAGACGTAACATGTAAAAGTAGCAGCAGCAGTAGCTAGTAGTAGTAGAAGAACGCGCCAAGTGTTCGGTTTGCCCGCGCATTGGGTCTGCGGATCCGGGCGAGGCCTCGATTTGCTGGCACGCGCGTGCTATTCGGCTTATGGTCGGAGAACGCCCACCCCAGTTACGCTGACGAGCAACTGGCGTCTATTAATGACAACTCTCTCGGGGATTCTGTGTGCGCGCTGTTTGCATATTTGCTTGTTCCGAACCCTGAACCTTAAAGGAGTGGGTGAGTGGGTGCGAAACCCCAAACCCAAAATGCGAAACCCTGAACCCTGAAAGGAGTGAAACCCTTAAAGGAGTGGGTGGGCGCCAAACCCTCGACCCTAAACGGAGTGAGTGGGTTTGAAACGCCAAACCCTAAATGCGAAACCCCGAACTAAAAAGGAGTGACCGAATGACCCAGGGAGAGTTCTTGGGCGCACCGACCACGTGGGCTCAGTAGTGGTAGCAGTAGTGGTAGTAGCAGTAGTAGTAGTAGTAGTAGTAGTAGTAATAGCAGTAGAAGTAGTTGAAGTAGTTGAAGTAGAAGCAGAAAACGAAGTAGATGTAGACGTAGGAGTAAAAATAGAAGTAGAAGTAGTAGTAGACGTAGAAGTAGTAGCAGACATAGAAGTAGTAATAGTAGTAGTAGTAGAAGTAGTAGTAGTAGTAGTAGTAGCAACTACAGTAGTAGTAGTAGTAGTAGTAGTAGTAGTAGTAGTAGTAGTAGTAGTAGTGGTAGTAGTAGTAGTAGTAGTAGTAGTAGTGGCACTAGTAGCAGTAGTGGTAGCAGTAGTGGTAGCAGTAGTAGTAGTCGTCGTCGCTGTAGTCGTAGTCGTAGTAGTAGTAGTAGCAGCAGTAGTAGTAGTCAGTAGTCGTGGTGGTGGTGTTAGTTGCAGCAGCAGCAGCATCGGTAGCAGTGGCAGTG